GCGCTCATGGAGACATGCTCCAAAAGACAGAAGAAGGTGGACTAAAAAAATGCTCACTTTACTGCGTAAGATCCATGTCATATTCATCCTCTTCTTTGAAATTGACTGAAGCGTGGCCGCTGTTGTTGTCATCCGGATCATGCCAAAATTGGTTGGTGTCATTCAAGTCGAGGTTGTCATCTGGGCTAATGGCAACAGGATCGAGGCTACCGCCTCCGCCTGACAAAGAGTCACCTCGATAATCGGTGTGGTGAGGCACTCGCAGACCAGATCCAGCTGTTCGCGAGTAAGAGAAGGTGCCGTTCTCACTCTTTGATATAGCGTCCATGAGCTCAGTTTGCATGCGTCGCTCATCTTCTGTCATCTCAAAGGGGAAGTGCCCACCGAGTTCAGCGATGGTGTTCATCATCTCCTCCTGCTGTTGAAGCTTAAGGTGAAGCATCCACATGAGATCTCGGGTCCAACTAACAGCGCCGTTGAGGATATCGCCCTTGTTGGGACCCTTGTCCTTGTCCTCGATAGGGAGGCCTGTCGTAATATTACCTGCAGTGTTTCCAGTAGCTCGTCGAGCACCAGGTCCTGCGAGACCAGATGTTGCTTGAGGGCTCGCGATTCCAGTCAATGATGGAGAGAGAGGTGTCCCGTTCTGAATAAGCTTTCGGATCTTCTCATCCTCCAGACGGTGAGTGGGGACGAGTCGGCTAAGATCCTGAATCCTTTCGTTGATGTTGTCCCGTCGTCGACGTTCAACAAGGTTGTGAGACTCTCGCCGCCGCTTCCTCTTCATTTCCTGAGAGGAAACGGCGTTTGAAGCGACACCAAGCTTCGCAGGCATCGAAGTACCACCCTTCATCATAACCTCACTGATTTGATTCATGCCAGGCTGCATAGGTGAGGAGTACCCAGAGTTGTAAGATGCAGGGATGCTTCCAGCAGGGGTGTTGAGCCACTGGCCATTGGCTGACTTCATGGCTTGGCCGCCGAAACCGGGGGACTCCTGCGATCCGATTGTCATTCCATGAAGGGTAGCGGTTTTGGGAGTCATAGGAGACATAGGACTACGACTGTTGGATGTTTTGCGCTGCATCTGCTGGGACATTCTGGCTCTGGCTTTAGCGTTGAGGAAGTTTGGGTCGTTGCTATCGGCATTCATGGCACCGGCTAATGGAGATTCGTTATAGGACAAGGGCGAATGTAAGGAGGTTCCTAGAGAGTGGCCTTGCATTTGTCGGTACTGAGTGTTGAAACCAGTATTGAAGGGACTTTGAATAGGGTCTCCATCGGGGGTACTCGAGTACCCGTTCATATGTGACTGGTCGATTTGCAAACCCGAGTTACGATGCGAGAACGCATTCTGGGAGAAGCCACCCATACTTAGTCCTGAAAAGTCCTGGCCTTGACCCGAAATTCCGGATTGGGTAACAGGAGGTCCATTCAGACCGTCTAAAAGCTCATCATCATCGAACATGGCGGAACTGTTTGTGAACCCGTTTGTGCCGTTTCCAGAGTTCGAGTTGAAGTTGTTGAATGAAGGAGAGTAACCACCTGACATGGCGAGATCGTTGGGGTCGATACTCGCCCCGCTGTGGCCGTTGCCAAATTGGTTGAAGCCGTGCTGGGCCATTGCGACGAGGATGATAAAGGTTAGGTTGCTGTATCGTGATTGAAGAATCGGATGTTGTTGCCCTAGCTAGAGGGGGGGATGTGGGCGAAATATTGTGGGCGTCCACCGGTTCGGCTAAGGATGATGGTACGTTCGAGTTACGAAGGTCAAGCTTGAACTGGCCTGTTAAGTAAGGGCTCGAGTCAGTAAAGCCAGGACAGCGCCGAACGCAAAGCGGGGGAAATGCAAAGTCAAGAAGACCGGCTCGGCGATGGGAAGCGGGCATCCATATATGGGGTGCCCACCGCCGCGGAGGTTACAGCAAGGAAGAAAGTGGCGGGCGGATGGCCGGGGGGTTGAGGCTTATCCGGATTTCTTGACTCACCAGACAGAGAGTGTGGCAGTTCAATTTAGGAAAGATAGAGTGTGCGCTATCTGCAGTCCATAAAAGAATAGCAGGTGCCGTGTGAGTGATGATATAAACGCTGAAACGGAAAGTATCCCGGATGAAGTTGAAGCCAGATAAGGTATTGTGGGAAAGATGAATGTCGTGAGTCGGAGGGTCGGAGGGAGACGTTCGGGGTTGGAGGGGGTTGAAATGGTGGGCACTGAGTGCAGGGCCTCCAGGCGTCCGTTCACTATGGTCAGGGCCAGGTACCTACAAAGGGTTAAAGCGCTGGGGGCGCTCCCTGGGGGTGCAGGTACTCCGCAAACCAAAAGAGCAGAGAGTGGGCTTGGTCGCTTGGGCTGGAGTACTTGGTAACGCACGGGCGAAAAGGTCCAGTTTATCGTCTGGCACGTACAGTGCTAGCCCCAGTCCAGTACTATTAGTAGCAGTCTGGAGATGCTGTCGTGTAAGATGGTCGGCGCGGGGGGCACGGAGGTCGGAGAGGCAGTTGAGGGGTTCTTTGTCTGAGTCTGAGTCGTAAATGAAGCCGCAGACTTGGAAGGGATAGGGATAAACCCAGTCGAGCTAGGCGGTGAAGAGCGTTTGTTCGGATTCAGGGTTCTAGTGGCTGTTCTTGGAATGGTGAGATGACCAGTCAGCAATGTAGTTCTGGAATACAGTTGTCTGAGTCGCGGCTTGAGGAAGAAGGATGATGGAGGTTTTGGTTTTGGGCGATGAGAGTGCGAAATGTGATGTGTGTGTGGCACCCGAATCAGAAGAGGGGGGCCACGGTTTCGGTATGTCACTTGTACCTCGTAGCTCGGCGCACCTCAATCGAGAGATATGGGGAGGGAAGCAAGTATATTCAGAAGAGGAATGAATCAAACGGGTAAGATCGTGGGTAACAACTATGACAACGACCCTGATAAGAGAAACGTATCAGGTTGAAAGGCCGGGCAAACAGTTTGTATAACAAAGAGACAAAGATCGTTGAAGGGGGCTAACGAGGCTATGATGCGTCGTCCTTACACGAAAGTCCAAGCGGTTGGTTGGTAGGGGTTTGTCTGAGCAGAACAACTGGACCAGGGCATGCGTACAGCATGCCAGGCAACCAGATAGAAAAGAAGAGCAAGGAAGAGGCGAGATGGAAAAGAAGCATGTATTATTCTACTCACCAAGTATTGTTAAGGCACCCAAATGCGCAGAAGGCATGGAAACAGTCGCGTTGGTGAGCTTGCACAGTCGACTTATATGCGATGCGATGCGGTGCGGTGTGGTGCGATAGCCGAGATGGATAATACGGCTTAGAGCAGGCGATGCAACAATATCTTCGCAGTTTATGTGTTGGTAAGTCGAGTCGAGTCGAGTCGAGCGGACGAAGCAGGATAAAGTACCCGAATTGTATTCGAAGTGTCGCTGGTGTTGCTTGAGCTGTGGTCGAGGAGGGTGTCCAAATCGGGAAATGGATGGATGTGGATGTGAGTAGCAGCGGGGCGCCGAAATGCAGGGTTCAGGTCCGTAATGTACAGTGATGCGATAGATGTTAAGGTCCGTCCTCAGGATGATGTGAGGCCGCGCTGAAGCTCAAGTTTGAGGATAAGGGAACAGGACTCGCAGCCGCAACTCTCAAGGTTGAAGTATTGAAGGCTATAGGGCCTTACTATTTGTCTCGGGATGCGTTCTAATTTATTCGAACGCACAGAGCGAAACTGCGAGATCTTTTGTCCAGACAAGGTGAAGTACTTAAGTTGGGGTATGGCGCAAAGACGGCGGGCAGGATCGGATACCGTGCATAAAAGACCAACTTTGGCCAAGATGAGTGTTCTCGATTGACGGTGACGTTCAAGAGCAAGCGGTCTGACGTCTTATTGTATTTATGGCGCCTCCAAGATAGACTGGAGGGTCCTAGAGCTGAAGGACAGGTGATAGCTTAGGACAGAGGGTGGCGTAAGTGTAAGTACAATATGACAATAAGTCGGTCAAGGGTCCAGCGCAAGACGACACTCAGCCGTGGCTGATGATCCAAACGGGGGTGTGGTTGGTAGGTGTAAGTAAGTTAGAAGTAGTCGATAAAGATCCGATACGAACAAGCCCAAGCACCAATGTAAGGGTCTCCCGTCTCTCTTGGTGGTTACTCTCACGAACGTGGTAGGTATGGACGTCGATCAAATAGACTGAACGGATAGCTGCGTTTCGAATGATCAAGTGGATTTCTCTTCTTGTTCTGTTCTTAGCCTTACTCTTGATATTGGCTCTCGCTCGTCCTTCTCTTCGTCCCCTAGGGCTGGCTGTGCTTACTCCTTCAAAGTCCGTCTCCGTTACAATCAAGTCCCAGAATGTTGATAACTGCAAAGGCCAGTTCAAAGACTAAGGTCCTTTCTAACACAGCTGCAAGATGAGATCAACAACCCTTGACCAGAGGCTAAGGCACCATGGTCCCCTAATTTATACTCCCAGGAATAAGCTAAAAATACTAGCCATAGCCGTCAAGTCAGATGTACAACTCTTATCGTCTCTCGCCCGCCTGACACGATGTATTTCGGGCCAAACGTGGAGGCGGTGGTCACTGGTCCCTGTGTAGTTGTATGCAAGTTGGGCCCAGAAAGTTGGCGGTAATGGTGGCCGCTATTTTCTGCTATGTCCGTTCTACACTCAAGAGTTGATGCAAGATAGAAAAGACAGGGGAGGGTGTGGATGCGACTGTGTGTGTGGGCGCCAGGCTGAACGTGACTTGGGATTTAAGACACCAAGCCCAACCTACTGTTTGGGACTTTAAGGACTCATCGGGAATTGCTACATGCAATCGATTCCCCTCCCTCGAATCCCTTCTTCTGTGCTCGGTCATGCGCTGAATACTTTCCCATCCTTCTTCCCTCTCCCTGGCCACGCGCCCCAGCTCGAAGCCCACCATCATTATTGCAGAATATCTCGAAGCGGCTGGTTGTTGTAAGAATCATAGAGCGGAGTGTTTCGGGAGGACTCAACTCTTGTCGGCCTGGTGACATTCGTATACCTAGATGAGAGTGTCGAGGTTTCTAGCAGTGTTTGCCCCTCATGTCCAATATTGTATTCAAGACGGAAACTTGGTGCAGGTTCATTCGTCATGGAGGGTACGGTATCAGTCAGACTGCCCTTACAATCTCTCGTCTTAGTTTCCCTACGGATCGTGTCCGGCCCTCTACGGTCCGCTCCTCAAGTGGTAAGTGGTAGCAGTAAACATGGAGCGCTCCGTCCGCCCGCTCCTCTCCCGCCTGGACCCTGTCCTGTATGTAGATGTGTTTCAACTTCTGAAGCGATATGCACTGAGAGAACTTAGCTGTGTTTGTGAGGCCGCGGGTGTGTGATATGTGGTTGGTTCCTTTAGCATGGGCAAAACGCATACGATCAGCCTCAAGATCTCTGAAACCTTCAGATGCGTCTCAAGCTCTGTCCTGCAAGGCCCCAAGCTCAGCTCAGCTCCGAAACAGCCAGACAGAAGCTCTGAGCTTTGACTCTGAAGCCTTCCCATCCCTGGCCATATGCTTCTGTGTCATGCATGATCCCTCCCGTCCCCGCCAAAAAGTGTCCGCTTGAGGCTTCCATCAATCAAAGGCGGCCCGTGCAAGAAAGATGGGGGAGCCACAGGTGGCAGCAGACCTACCCCAAGCTCGTTTCCACTTTCACGCAGCCAATCATATAATCTCCCGCGCTGCCTGAGGACGGCATTACAGGAATGGATGGGATCCAATCCAAGGAAGGAAACCACACGTCCAACCCCAACCCATCAACTTCCCAGCTTAGTGCCGCCCTCCACTATCAACGACCAACTTCAGTCCTCTCCAAACACCCAGATAGATCCCATTCATTCTCTTTCGCGCGCAAAATACTCCGATCGACTTTTGTCACGCATCTGCCTTTGCTCTTATCGCTATCATCTCCACCATTTTCGAGCGGTACGCGCGGTCGCCTGCAACCCCCTTAGCCCCAACGCTCCAACCTAAGCCCCAGAGGACTCGTAGTCCTTCGTACCTATCGAGGTACTGTCGCCTTGCGTAAAGTAACGTCGTCAGCGACAAGTTTAAGCTCTGTAGGTGACAGATCGTGGTAGGCAGCCAGCTTTGTCCACCTTGTTAACTAAGGCTCTGCCTCTATATCATGGGTACTCGTCGACTGACCACATCAACCATGATGCCAGACTTTCCAAGGAAGTGGATATTGCTATTCCAAGTTATATTATTAGTTTGATACGAGACCGCCTTTGTCGCCCGTCTTGCGTTAAGGCCGTCCCACCCTCCATTACACCTACGAGCTCGAACTCCAGCCCGAATCTGAATCTCATCCTGAACCTGAACCTGCGCCGCACGATCGACCTAGCCGCTCCGTCCCTGTCCCGCGATCGCTGAACCCGCCCCTTACGTTTCCGTCCCTCTGGTCCCCTGCCGCCATGGCCTCTTCCTCCTTCAGAGACTCTATAAACTCCCTTGGCTGGAGTCGCCGCGATGAACCAGTCAACACCTCTCAGCAAAGCGGGCTGCTCTCCTCTCTTCAGGGTTTAAATCCCTTCCAAGGAGGCAGTGGTTATGTCCGTCTACCCACCACTGAGAGTTCCGGTGCACCTCTCCCTGCGCCCAGTCGACGTGAGGAAGAGGAAGGCTGGTTTGTTCGTGAGTCAACCCTGGATATTCTTCACCTATGGTCTTCCAGCACCCCTGCAGCGGGACATGTGCATTGCATCTGAGCCATGCCTTGAACCATGCATGTGATGCGGATGACATGCCTCGTGGTTAGAAGACACTAACCCAACTGGCAGTTAGCCGATGGGATCGCTTGTTGATCTTTGGTGCTTGTAACCTCGCTGCTGTGGCATGTTTCGTCATCTGCTTCACTCTGTTTCCCGTCCTCTCTCTGAGACCACGCAAGTTTGTCATATTGTAAGTCGGAAATCCATGCACATCCCTTTCAGTCTGCCCTCTTCATCCTGTATATCCCTTGTCGATCTATGTCACGCGGCCTCGCTACTGTGAGACCGTTTTGATTGTGACTAGTTTTCTCCATGATATGATGTCGTAGATTCGACATGGTGAATCTCAAAATCCCATCTGGAAGCTAACGTGGGGCTACGCAGATGGTCGGTTGGATCACTAATGTTCCTGGCCTCCTTCGCTGCGGTAATGGGCCCTATGAACTACGTTTATCATCTTCTTTCGACTCCTCGACTGCCGTTTACTGCGGCGTATTTTGGCTCTATCACGTTGACCCTGGTGTTTGCCTTGAAGGTAAGGTCTAGCTTGCGATGGGTTGAACAATCTACTTACATACCGAAAGCTTCACAGCACAATTCTCACCTTATTCTCCGCTCTTGTTCAGCTTGCTTGCCTGCTCTGGTACTTGATTAGTTATTTCCCTATGGGATCTACTGGACTGCGCTTTGCCACATCGTTTGGTGCAAGGCAAGCAACAGCCTGGATGACTGGCTAGAAAAATCCCTTGACTACTTGCAGTACGGAACTCTTGTACTCAACACGTTTCACGATGCTTTCAGGCTCCAATGTTTCATGTCCTCCTATACACCAGTTGCCTGTCTTGTGTAATATTAGCAACGAATTCGCCACATCATCATGGACTCAGGTAACAGTCGAATGGTTTTTACAAGAACAGCTGTCGATTTTGGATAAAAGTAAATGCCTATCTATCATTTTTGTTATTATATATACTTGCAATCAAGTCTGAGTTTTGTTGTGGTATATGCCCAGCCAAAGGGACTGCAGACATCGTGTGGAGCAGTATCCCTCCTTATATCCTCAAGGAGTCTTGATATCTATTTTCCCATAGAATAAATATAATCCGGTCAGTTCACAAGTCACAGACTGAGTATTTCGCGTCAGTATCGGGCAGTTTGTGGTGGAAGATTAGGTAAGCGTTACCCAAAAGGGCAAGTTATCAGGTGCTGTATCCAATGAGCAACCCATATGTGCGGCATTGGTTTGTAATGGAAACTGGGAAGATTTGGGCTTGTTGGAATTCTAAGATAAATGAAAGCTCTGGTTAATAAAGTAGCTATTTAACTGAACAGTTTGCTTACAACATAATAGTGTTATATAAGAAAGTGTAATTCCTCTAAAAGTAACAGGAAATTAACCTTAATTAGGTACGCAACTTCACAAATGCAATGACGTATGCTGAATGGTGGCCTTAACTCTAGGCTTTTGTATCATGAAAGTATAGCTATAATGAATCAAGAAAAACCGCACTTTAGTCTAAGTTGGAAAGCAAATTGACACACGAAGCTCTAGCCACTCGTATCTCTTGATTTAGTATTGAATAGCCCAATGATTTTTCGATACTGGTGAGATTTATGACCAATAGATACCTTGTTGTCTTTTGTGTAAACATCTGGCTGAGTGTTCTTTCGAGACACACGCAGATTCTCATATGTTTTCTCTTCCTGTTAACAACCCGCTTAGCTGAAATTGCTGATCTGCTTCTTGGCGTGTTCGTGGATCGAGTGTGACCTGATGCATATCCAATATTTGAGTAACTTTTCAGTCTGTTACCGTAGACTCAAGCTTCTGTATCGGGACACTTGTTTATTTCTATTCAAAACAATGGAAGTTTGACTTCTTACACGAGCTCCTGGAGGTTCATCGAATGTCATGCATTCAACCCGGTCAAGTGCCCTTTACAAAACCCAAAGTTCTTACTAGCTCCGAGTGTGTATGCATGTATTTATTCACCTCCAAATTACCCACGCAGATCAAGCTTTCTCGGACAAAGAGACCTGCATAGACATGTATCTGTTGTGTTTGTGGTGATTGCAAGTTCCACACATGTACACAGCACGGCCAGCTCACTGTGCACGCAGCTGGTGCAGGATTACCAAAACACGCTCCCAACAGGGCAAAACGTCGTAAAGCGAAAAGGCAAACAATCGCATGAGTACAGTAACCATAAAAGTAACGACAAAGGTACTTCAGAAAAGCCGATTTATATTCGCGCAACTCCACCTATCACGGTCATCCGGCTCCGGTTGAAGTACTCTATCATGCCCTTGTTAACAGGCCTCTTCGGGGTCTCGGGTGCCATGACATTCATGGATGACGGCGGCTTCTAGCAGTGAGGGAGGTGCATCCAGAGTGGAGCCCAAACGAGAAGAAGCATTGCCCTAAATCCTACTGAAAGATGAGCCCGAGGCAGATTAGTAGCATGTTCAGTGCCGTCGACTGCAGGGCTTTTAATAAGGCTCGAGTCAGCGACACAGTGGCGCTCCAGGTATTGTTACTCGGCGGGGTGGATATGAAGAACCCCGTCGCTGACTTGGGTTACTTAAACAATGCATTCACTGATTATAGGTCCCTAACCTTAGTGATGTAAGTCCTGATATGCATCTCCATCAGTCAATTACAAACATGCAAGACATACTCCATAGAAGAGGAATAACGATGTCACAGTACCGTATTCGGTATGTAATGATTAAATCGCTGATAGTGTCGAGAAAATGCAGTATCGTAGAAATAAAATTGACCGAAATGAAACAAGAGGAGAAAGAATCCATAACAAGGAAAATGAATATCACTTTATCTGTTCATGGCTGGGAAGAAGAAAAAAACCAGAGTAGAAAAGAATGTCCCTCCATCCTTCCATCCCGACCCGTCTCCCAGTCCATCTCCCAACGATTCCCGCTCGGCGCAGCGGTACCTTCTAAGTCACTTAGTCGCAGTATATTTCTGTGGTACCTTCCGCCTGCGGATCAGAGAGGGGAAAGAAGCGCAGGAAAAAAATTTATTATTCACACAACGCAAAAAATAACCTCCGGCCTTCTTTTTCTCATTCCCTGGTATTCGTGTGCCCTCTTTCTATAAACCACAACTTCTCTCGCCGACTCAATTCAGAAAAGAGTTGCCGCTGAAGATCAATTTGTATTGGTTTGCGAACACTACCCTCTTTACCTCATCCTTTCCCCCCCCTCCTCCCTCCTCCTTCTTCCATATCCTCTGAAACCATTCCTACATCCATCGATCATAACCACCCCGCCGCCTGGCATTCTGCGCTTTCTCCCGATACCCTCGTGACGAAGCAACGTAACAAGCAAATACCCCGGCCTCGGTTCTGATTCTGGTTCTGGTTCTGGTTCTAGGCTACGAGCTCCTCCAATCGACACGTCTTTTCTGCCCGACACGCTCTGGTTTCCTATTTACGAGAGCAGGCAAAACAGGACAGTAGCATTAGCATTTTTGGGTTTACTGCCTCAAAATCACTGTTCACACCAACCTTACTTTTTTTTTCCTCTTGCCTCCCTTCGTCGAAAGTTAGTCGCCTACTGCCCTAGGCTGCCATTTTTCGATTCAATAAACGCCTTTACGACATAGCAGAATCTTTTCCTCTCTCCATCAGAAGCATCTGTCACGGCTCAAACCGAGCATTCGTCCACAGTCCAACCGATTTACTGGTTGTCCCTTTAGGCCTGAAGACCTCGGCTCAACGGACACCTCACTCCCAGTTTTATACCCTCGTACTCGATACGCAGTCCCGAATTTCGACTCATTGTCCGAGAATTTCACATCCCGGCGCCCTCATCATTTAGAGGTCTACAGATAGCCACTGTATCGCACGTGGGTGCTTTGCCTCTCTCCTTGCGTGGAAGGGGTTGAGAGACATTCTGGGGTTTCCGATCCCCAAGCAATACATTCATTTTCCCTTCTATTGCGACTAAGGTGATTTCGGCACCTTCAGCTTTGATATCCCTACTAGTTCAAGACGGTAAGCCTGTCCTACAAGGCTCAATCTGAAATGAGTCCATCAGCTATCGTTGAGTCCAACGAAATGGCCACTCAATCAACTTTTTCCTACGCACAAGCTGCGAAGGGTCAAGGCACTACCCCTACTTCAAATTCTACAGCTGCCACCGATGCTACTGCTCCTTCCCAGGATGCACAGGCTTCCATTGCTGATGCTGATGTTCCCGCTCCCGCAACCGACGTGAAGTCGTCTGCTTCTGCTACTGAGCAGGCCAACTCTGAAGCTCCTGAGACCACGGAGCACCGCGCTGCCTTTTCTGAAAAGCAAGGCCTCGAGAGTGTACCCGGATCCGAGAGCGATGCCCGTTCCGAGTCGACACAAAGCAGACGAACCGACTCCAGGCGCGAAGATGATGCTGGAAGGCTAGAGCGCCCGTGGCGACGCAACGAGAAGACACCGGGGTCATCAAGCACTACTACCCGGTCTGTTGACGAGCAGGACTCCCGAAAGGCTAGGCGTAATAAGAAGGGTAAGACTTCTGAGAAGCAATCCAGCGATCAGGCGACAGAAAAGGAGCAGGAGGCGGCCCCTGAGGCCCCCAAGGTCGAGCTCTCAGAAGCACCTATCCCCAGCGTCAACATCTGGCATAAGCGAAAGGAGGCACAGCAGGCCAAGTCTGCCAAACCTGCTCCCACACCCGCAGAAGCTACAGTGAACGGCACTTCATCTCAGAAGGATGAGAGAAAGACTGAGGAATCTAATACAACACCCTATACGAATGGTGTCAAGACTCAGCAAAAACCAGCCAGTACTGTGCGGCCGGAGCGCAATAGCCCCCGGGGGTCGCGGATACATGAGAAGGATGGCAAGAACGAGGTTCCCCCATCAGTTGAGGATTCTACAGCATGGCCAACTCCTGAAACTGCAATTACGGCTATCAAGGAGGACAGCAAGAAGAAGGTCGCAGACAAGACACCCGAGAAATCAGACCGCTCTGATAAGGATAGTCAAGAAGATGGCAGCGCGTCAAAGCCCCGACAGAAGTGGGTTGCTATGGATTACGTCCCCACAGTCAGCTTCGAAACCCAGCTTCCTCAAATGCGTAGTTCCAAGCCACGGGGTGGTGCTCGTGGTAACCGAGATACCGCTCCTCGAGGCACGGCCAACGGTGTGGCGGACAAAACCGCTTCTACCGCACCGGCCAATAAGACCAACGATACTAAGCCCAAAGACAACACCAACAATGCCGCATCGCAACTAGCAGCCGTTAAACGCGGAGTAGCGGATGGTGTTAACGGTCAGAAAAAGACTTCGGCCAACAGTGGCTCTGAGAAGGCCAAAGATACACCTGCTCAGTCTTCAGTGAGTAATATCATACCCATGTAGAGCACAACTATCTTGAGATTGCGCAAGCGCATTTATTGTTTGAGACGTATACTGATTGCTTTCGGAATAGGAGATTTCTCAAACTCGAGACCGGTATGATGGCCGCGGTGAGAGAGGCCGAGGCAATTATCGAGGACGAGGTGCCCATCACGGCCATTCACAATCTCAGCATGCTATTTCTGCATCTGGGTTCCATGGTCAAGGCACCAACGCTGCCAGATCCCAGGGTTACAGTCCCCCCTTGCGACACGGTGGTCATGGTGGCATGTTCACGCCTCCTTCTCAGCGAGGCCGCGGTCGCAATGGTGCTAACAACTTCCATCGTGTATCAGTGCCAAACGGCGGATCTCGTATGCCCGTCGTGCAAGCTCAATATTCGCCTTACGATTACTCTATGGCATCGCCTATTGGTGCAGTTCCTTTCCATTCCCTTCCATTTGATAACTTGCTCGTACTCACGATCAAGACTCAAATCGAGTATTACTTCTCCATCGAGAACCTTTGCAAAGACGAATACCTTCGACAGCGCATGGATTCCCAGGGATTCGTCCCTCTCCACTTCATTAGTGCGTTCTCGCGCATCAAGCAGCTGACTGTGGACATGAACGTCATTCGTGCTGCTTGTGAAGATTCGACTGAAGTCGACTTCGTGGTTGGCGACGATGAGTGTGAGCGACTACGTCGGCGACACAATTGGGAGCATTTCGTTTATTCTATGGAAAACCGAGATGAACTGGCCCGTAATGCTGGCCCTGCAAGCGTCACTTTCAAGAACAGACACTACCATTTCCCCAGTGGTCAATTTGACGACATCGCTGCTATGCCATATGGTGCACCTGCTTATCCTCATGGCCCTGCCCTCCAACAATTCGCACCTCATGACGCAAATGGGGTTGTTCCAAATGGCAACACTCAGCTTTCTGCGGCTGTTCCCGACTTCTCACCTTCCGGGACAATCCCCCTTGTTGGCCCTCAGGGTGAGGTCCAAGTCACCAGCGTTGAAGCTTTGACCAATGGTCATGCTGAACAACCCGCGCCGCTCACCAACGGTGTGCATACTGGGGAGGCTTACACAACTCAATTGTAGGCCCCTCCGGAAATGGAGTACTGGCTGTGGCGGAGATGCTAGACCTCTATCATTCTCATGCTCATGCTTGAAAAGTGGCGTATATGAGAGAGCTGTTTCCTTTTTTTCCGGTCTGGGTCGATACGAATGACGCGTCCCAGATTTATAAGTGTTTACGATTTCATGCTGTGGCCCGGAGCTGGCTTCATATCCCCCATGAACTAGAGCGTGTCACGATTATGATCTTTTTGGTTCATAGGTCTTCAGTGAAACAGGCTGTATGAATGCCTCAAGGATTCATATATAAAGCCCTCCACTGTTCTGGGCCAGGCAGCAAACGGGTGGTTGGCGAGTTCTTGACAGTAACTTGCGCTGTACGTTACAGTGCTATAAGTGCACCATGGGCCGACAAGAGGTCTATATATCCTAAGGTCTCCTATCAGGATCGCTGAAAAAGGAGTAAATGACGCACACAAGTTACAGATATTCGATGCCCAGGGGTACGAGGCTATAATAAAAGGCCAGTAACCATTGGGGAGGAAAATCCGGAGTGGAGGTTGGCTCAATGGCCTGATGTATTGGTTTCTGTTGGGGCGTATTCCAAGGATGGTTTTGTGAAATGCCAAGGCACGCTTCAAGTTGGAAAGGTGTGCGCCAGAACTTCAGCGTTACATGCGAGGAAGTTCGGCTGGGTGCTGGGCAGTTGTAGTGACAAGACAGAGAGGCGAGCGACAAGTGTCGCTAGATGATTGCTATACCCGCTACGCTGGATGTTCACGGGATGGTCGATTACAATGGCATATGGAAAGGGTATCATTATACCAGATAAAAAAAGGCATTGGTGGAAAAGCATATGGGCGTATGATGACATTTAGCTGAACTGCAGCATCTTTTTTTTTCTCGACTGCATATGAAAGGGGTTCAAGGATGGTTTTGATTTGGACTTGGTTCTGATTTTACTCATGGATTCTGATGTTAGAGGGGACTCTCCAGCTTTGCTAAAAATACGGAGTTTTTTTTTTATTCCAGTTTCAAAAGTTGTACAATAGTTTCAATATTAAAGAAAAAATCATGTCGAGAAACATCAGGCTTCTGCTTGTCTTGGGATTTATTGAATGATATTGTATGTGGATGGTTATTTCTAGGGGCTCACTAATACATGTTAGGTCATAGGCGAGCTTCCATGAGCGTACAATAGGGTTGGAATAGTTGGAAAACACTATCGGCTGTGGAAAGTGCAATGAGTAACTGCAACATGCGATTTCTTACCGCATGAGGATGGACTTTTTTGTCTGCCCCTGTCCTTTCATTCACATCATATCGGTCGTCATGACAAGATCGTTCATCATGTTGGCGGGGTTGAGGGGTTATCCATTAACTTCAGGGTAGCTAAATTGCACATGGGTCATACTCGGCACCTTTGTCCAT